AGGGCAGGCCACAGGGAGTGCCTGCGGGCGTCTGGGGCCAGCCGTGGGGATGTAGGAACGGAAGAAAGGAGTTGGCTGTAGAGTCCTGACCAGGCAAGGTACAGGGCCAGATTCCAACAGAGGTTCCTGGACCCCAGGGAAACCTGGTGCTGGGGTTGGCGATGCTGTGTGCACCTGTCCACCCGTCTCGAATAGGCTGAGGGTCAAGTCTCTGGGGTCTGAAGTGAGCATTTACTCTGCTCGTCTTCCAAGTACAAACCCCTTCTGTCCCCAGATGAGGGAAGCGCCCGGCCAGAGCCCTCCGGGGGTCCCGTGGGCAGGAAGAGACGGGGCAGGCTGGTGTGCAGGGCTCAGGGCGGGCAGGGCCGGGCTCTGTAAGACGGGCCAGAGCCGACACCCTGGTTTGGTCGGCCTCTGCGGGTGGCGGGCGGCTGTTCCAAGGTCAGTTGTCAGGTTCCTGAGTCCCTTGTGGCAAAGATTCCTGGTGCATTGGCCGTTTCAGACTTCCGGGCGTGCAGCGTGACAGGAGGGCCACTAACTCCGCCCAGAGCTCTGTGGCCGTCCTCTCCCAGGGCCGTGGTGCAGAGCCGGGCCAGCCAGGGGCGGGAGGAAGCACACACGGAGCCCTCGTGAGCTTCTGAGTGTGAGGGAAGCCTGGGCCCTCAGGTGCTCCCGGTGTAGCTGGCCACGTGCTCCAAGGAGGGGATCCCCGATGGGAGGGTGCTGGCTGCAGGCTCGGGCTCAGACCCTGTGGTGGGCAGCACTGGCCAAGGGGGCTTTGTCAGCAGGCGGTGATTCTGTTCCTGGCCTCACCCTCTACACTTGCTCAGCTGTCTGCAGACTGCACTGCACCCCGGCTGTGGCTGTAATCCAGGCCCTGCTATCCCTGGCCTGGAGAGCTGTGTTCCTCACCCAAATGGCCTCAGGCCACCACCCTTCAACTCCGCGGTCCTTGCTCCGCAGGGACACTTGCGTGCCCCTCCTGAAATGTAAATCGCTCTATTGTGTTCACGCTGTGAGCCGCACACCTGCCCTCCCCACACGGGTGCTCCCCAGATGCCCAGCAGCTTGCCCTTCCCCAGGCCGCCAGGCCTGAGGACTCTGTGCCTTTGCAACTCTCTCTCAGACCCCCACCTGGAATCCCTCCTCCCTCCCCTCCTCCAGAGCGCCCGCCCATCTTCTCAGCCTCATTGCGAAGGTTACTTTGAGGTGAACCCTTTCTTGACACCCACGCTCACCTGCCCAGGGAGAAGTGACACTCCTCCCCCTGTACCCCTCCTCCCCCCCTCCCTCCCCCCCACCATCACCCTTGTCGAGACAGTTTTCACGGCACTGATATGCTTTAGGGGTGAGTGTTTGTTTGTTTGTTTGTTTATAGGGCTGTTTCTTGCATTTCACCTTATAAACTTCCTAATGTTTCTAAAATAAGCACTCTGGTCTGTTGTTCGGTAAAAAGCCTCCCCAAACTGTAGTGGCAAAACTGTAGTGGCTAAGGCCAGGGGGCATGACAATTGAGGCAGAATTGAGGATTGTGCTGTGCTCTCAGAGTCTGTCGATCCGGAATCAGAAAGGAGGCAGCGCGGGCAGCTGGTCTGTGTCGCTCGATGTTTGAGGCGTCAGCTGGGAAGGCGCCGAAGCTAGTGGTAGCGCGCAGGCTGGACGGGAGTCCTCCCAGGGCTGCTTCGCTCAGGCGTTTGACAGGTGATGCCAGCTGCCCGCGACCTGCGTTTCCTCGGCCCCCCCCCCCCCCGGGGGCTGGGCTCCAGGAGTAAGAGCTCCAAGAGACGAGGCTGAAGCTGCCTGGCCGTGTGTGGTCCAGCGTTACAAGCCATGCAGTGTCACTCCCGCCATTGTCACAAGCCCGCCTGGGGGCCCGCGGACGGAGAGATACTTGTGGGACAGAGGGATTGCAGTGGCCCTCTTTGGAAAATAAGGCCTGTCACACACGCTAAGCGCCGGGTGCGTGCAAACGGCAGTTTTAAAGTGTGAGGGCTGAGGAGGGAAGAGTTGTGAAATTGGGGGCTGGGGGTGTGGAGGGAGGGCGAGATAGGACCAACAATAGATTGCAGGAGAGAAGACTCTGGGTATGTGTGTGTGTGAGTAGACACACACTTATTTGTGGTGGGGGAAGGGGCGTGGGTATGTAGAGCTGCTTAAAGGAGCCACTGTCTGGTTGGAAATTTTTAAAATGTGCATACAAAAAAGTAAAAAATTAAAATGTGCACACACACCAAGGCCCAAACCAGGAGAGCAGGAGCAGAGAGGGAGGGGAAGGATAGAGGCAGCCATGTGCAGAGCTGTTTGGGTCTGGTGCCCGGTGTGCTGGGAGAGCCTGAATGATGCTTGCCTGGGGCCTGGGTGAGTGCAGGGACACTGGCAGCAATGGGAGGGTCGGGGCGGGAGCTGTGGGAGGCGGGGCGGGGGCATTCAGTTCCATTGTGGACAAGCTGCCTCCCGTTCCAGGGGTTGGAGTTCATGGAGGTCAGCTGAGAGGGTCAGACAAAGGGCGGATAGTGAGGCGCATCCCCGGAGCGGTGGCTGCTGAGCCCGGGGGGCGTGGCAGCGGAGGCGGAACCTTGGAGGGGTCCCAGCCGTGGGTGGGCCGGTCTGAGCTGGGAATCTGGAAGGGCCGATGCCGGCCCCACCCTCCTCCTCCAGCTCTCTCCCGCCCCACTGTCCACAGTCACCATCACCACGCAACTGTTTGTTTTGGTAGAACTTTAAAGCTTTAAAAAAGGTGAGGAAGAGTACCGGGGACCCCGACAGACCCACCTTTTTTACATTTTGCCTCACTGGCTCTGTCTTTTCTCTGTGCATGTCTTTTTACATGTGGATATACGGTCATGCATGGTGTGGCGTGTCGGTTAACGATGGTCCCATATGCGAATGTGGTACGCCATTTAGCCTAGTGTGTAGTAGGCTACACCCGTGGTCGGCAAAACTGAGGCTCTCGAGCCACGTGCAGCTCTTTGGCCCCTTGAGTATGGCTCTTGCACAAAATACCATGGCATTAGGAGAAGTTCAGGTTTAAAAAATTTGGCTCGCAAAAGAAATGTCGATCGTTGTAGTGTTGACATTTGGCTCTGTTGACTAATGAGTTAGCGGACCGCTCGGCTACACCCTCTAGGTTCGTGCAAGTGCACGCTGCAGCGTTCGCACAATGACAGCATCACCTACTGACACATTTCTCAGAGCATAGCCCCGTCATTAAATGGCAGGTGACTGTGTTCTTTCGTGAATTATGGGAGATTAAGCTGAAGATACTATGAAACTTGACTCACAGATCCTTCGGTGTGAGTGTCCTGTGGACAGAGACCGTGGTGTGATGGTCCCAGTCAAGAAGGCGGAGGTGGACACAGTATGTGTTCTTCGTATCCAAATTCAGATTTCAGCCGTTGTCCCAATGAAGTACCTTATGGCTATTTCCCCCCTCCTCCCGTCCTAGGTCTCGCCCGTGAGCATGCACATTGCTGCCCTGCCTCCTTAGTCTCCCGGAAGCTGGGAGAGGGGTTTGTCTTTGCAGTTTCTGAAGAGAACCGTCAGGTGCTCTCTGGCGAGCCCTCCGTTGGAGTTAATCTGATGTTCCCTCGTGATTAGGTTTGGGCGATAGGTTTTGGCTGGAGTTCTGCGTGACTGGTGTTCTGTCCTTCTCCGCAGAGCGTATCAAAAGGCACGTGCTGCTTGCCCGATAATTTGTGATGATAACTTGGCAAAGGTGGCGTCTCTCGGATTTCCTGCTCAGGATTCTCACCTGGGGCTGTCCGCACTCATGGCCTGAAAGTTGAAATCGAACACTTGCCCTTTTCCCACCGGTTGGCACCTTCCCCTGATGGCCAGTTTCCTCCTGGGTCGCCAGCAAGTGCGAGGAGTGGATCTGTGGGCTCCGCTGGCCAAGAAACTGGAATTTAGCATTTCCTAAAGTTACTGTTGTAATGAAGTAACTTTGGAGGACAGGGTTTTGAGACCATATATATATCCTGTGCCTCATCAAACTTTCACCTGCTAGTTGCAGCATCCACTGGAGGCTTGCTAAATCCATCATTACACACACACACACACACACACACACACACATATATATATATATATATATATATATATATTTTTTTTTTTTTTTTTTTAATTGGTATTCTACTATAAAGAAGAGCTTTCCTCTCTGGAGGGATGCATCTTGCAAACTCAGTTCTGCATCTGTGTATTAGCTTTTCCCTTGCTGGGCTGGGCCCCCTGGACCCCTCCCCCCCGCTGTGTGCTTTGGGGGACATCAGCTTCCTGGGCTTGGGGTGAGGCCTGGGTCTTCCTCCAGGCAGTAATGGGCTCGTCATCCACAGGACTGGCTCAGGTCATCCACAGGACTGGCTCAGCACGGGGCAACACACAAGCCTGGTCGGGTCATTGGTGTTTCCTCCGGCCTGGGCCTGGGCCTGGGCCTAAGGAAGCACCGTGATGGGTGAAGGAAAGAGCTGTGGGTTCCTTCCCCCTGAGAAGCTATGGCTGGCCCCCTGTCCTGGCTTAGCGTGTTCATCTAGTCAAATATGTCACGCATGTTTTGCACACACAGCACATTGTTACCTGGTGTGCTCGGTTAGCTTTCTTTCTCTTTTGACAAAAAATAATAATAATAATAATAAAACCAACATGGTCCTGGTGTCCCGTTGGGCACTGGGAGATACAGGCCGTTCTGCGCGTCCTTAATAAACGCTTCGTTTCAGGGGAGCCTTGTTAGTGTGCTGGGTCTGAGGCTCCAAAACGTCTGAGCAGCATTCCGAATTCCGTGCCAGGAGCCCTCCAAGCTCCGCCTTCCCTTTCCGAGGGTGCAGCTGGCTGGGGAAGGAGACACGGGGCGAGGAGCCGGGGTTCGGGGTGTATCGGGGACAGAGAGTTTACCAGAAAAGCTGGGTTCAGGTGTGCATCTGAGTGGTGGGAAGCAGAGTAAGCTGTTCCGATACGATGGCTCATCTTTTTCCTTTTCTCCCTCCCTCTCTCTCTCCTCTCTCCAGACAGGCTCCGAGCTCAGCCCCGTTGATGGACCTGCTCCAGGTCCGATGGACTCAGGGCCAGCGTACCATGGGGACTCCAGGCAGCTAAGCGCCTCAGGGGCGCCGGTCAATGGTGCTAGAGAACCCGGCGGACCCAGCCTGCTGGCGGCTGGGGGTGCTTGGCGAGCAGACCAGAAGCCCTCCTGGGGCGCCGCCCCGGGCCCCGCGCACACCGCGCGCCTGGAAGATGCGCACGACCTGGTGGCCTTCTCGGCGGTGGCCGAAGCCGTGTCCTCCTACGGGGCCCTCAGCACCCGGCTCTATGAAACCTTCAACCGTGAGATGAACCGCGAGGCCGGGAACAGCGGCCGGGGACCCCGGGCCGGGCCCGAGAGCGGCCCGGCGGGCAGCGAAGACCTCGACACGCTGCAGACGGCGCTGGCCCTCGCGCGGCACGGCATGAAGCCGCCCAACTGCAACTGCGACGGCCCCGAGTGCCCCGACTACCTCGAGTGGCTGGAGGGCAAGATCAAGTCCGTGGTCGTGGAGGGCGGCGGGGAGGACCGGCCCCGGCTCCCGGGGGCGCTGCCCCCTGGCGAGGCCAGCCTCCCGGCCCCCGGCCCCCGGCCCCTCCTCGGTGCTGAGATCCCCCAGATGCCTCCCCCCGAGGGCCTGCCTCTGTCCCAGAACGCCCTGAGCATCGCCAAGGAGAAGAACATCAGCCTGCAGACGGCCATCGCCATCGAGGCCCTCACCCAGCTCTCCTCCGCCCTGCCCCAGCCTTCTCACTCCGCCTCCCAGGCCTCCTGCCCGCTCCCGGAAGCCCTGTCCCCTCCCGCCGCCGCCCCCTTCCGATCGCCCCCGGCCTACCCCCGGGCCCCCTCCTGGCCCGCGGTCCCCCCGGAAGAGCCCCCGCCCTTCGCTCCCGAGAGCCCCGCCTTCCCCCCAGCAGCTCCCAGGACAGAGTTCCCCGAAGCCTGGGGCACCGACACCCCACCAGCAACCCCCCGGAGCCCCTGGCCCATGCCGCGCCCGAGCCCCGACCCCATGGCCGAGCTGGAGCAGCTGCTGGGCAGTGCCAGCGATTACATCCAGTCAGTATTCAAGCGGCCCGAGGCCCTGCCCACCAAGCCCAAAGTCAAGGCGGAGGCTCCCTCCTCCTCCTCCTCCTCCTCCTCCTCCTCCTCCTCCTCCTCCTCCTCCTCCTCGCCGGCCCCGGCCCCCGCCCTCCACAGGGAGGCCCCCGCGCCGCCCGCCGAGCCCAGCGCCCACCAGAAGGCCCAGGCCGCCCTGCAGCAGCACCTGCACCACAAGCGCAGCCTCTTCCTGGACCAGGCGCAGGGCGCCGCCTGCCCCGCCGCCCCGGAGCCCCCCGCCCCCGGCTGGTGGGCGCCGGCCGGCTCGCCCCGCCCCCGGCCTCCGGACAGGCCGCCCAAGGAGAAGAAGAAGAAGCCCCCGGCGCCCGCGGGCGGCCCCCCGGGCACCGAGAAGACCGCCCCGGGGGGCAAGCCCGGCGTCCGGAAGCCTGTTCAGATCAAGCGGTCCCGGCCCCGGGAGCCGCAGCCGCTCTTCCCGCCCCTGCGGCAAATCGTCCTGGAGGGGCTGCGGCCCCCGGCGGCCCCCGCCGAGGCCCAGGCACCCCCGCCCGCCCCCGCCCCCCAGGGCTCCGCTGTGCCCCTGCCCCCAGAACCTTCTCTTGCGCTATTTGCACCTAGTCCCTCCGGGGACAGCCTGCTGCCCCCTACTCAGGAAATGAGGTCCCCCAGCCCCATGGCGACCCTGCAGCCAGGCTCTGCCGGCCCCCTGCCCCCCGCCGACGACAAGCTGGAAGAGCTCATCCGGCAGTTCGAAGCCGAATTCGGGGATAGCTTTGGGCTTCCCGGCCCCCCGAGCGTGCCCATTCAGGACCCCGAGAACCAGCCCGCCTGCCTCCCAGCCCCCGAGAGCCCCCTGGCCACCCGCTCCCCCAAGCAAATCAAGATCGAGTCTTCGGGCGCGGTGACCGTGCTGTCCACCACCTGCTTCCACTCGGAGGAGGGCGGCCAGGAAGCCACGCCCACCAAGGCCGAGGACCCGCTCACCCCCACCCTCAGCGGCTTCCTGGAGTCGCCGCTGAAGTACCTGGACACGCCGACCAAGAGCCTGCTGGACACGCCCGCCAAGAGAGCCCAGGCCGAGTTCCCCACCTGCGACTGTGTCGGTAATTGCTCCCGGGCGTCGGGAGGGCAGAGGGTTGTGGCCCCGGGCGGGCGTGGTGGGCTCCGGGGGCTCTGTCTTTCATGGGCAAACACTTCCTGTGGGCCAGCCGCCCCGCTGGGGTCCGGGGACACAGAAGTGAGCTCACAGGCAAGAGGTGTTGGAGGAGGCTAATGCTGATGCTTTGTGGTTCGGGGCATGTTTGTGTCCGTAGAGGTAGGCACAGATGGTTTGTCACGCAGACTGAGGTCAAGGCACCACGGCAGCACCAGGGGAGGCGGTGCTTGTTCTGGAGCCTGAGCTTGGGGGTTGGGGCTGATGTGGACGGTTCTCACTCTGGGAGGAGCAAACAGGGAAGGGTGTGTGTGAGACGAACGAAAAGCGGCTGGAAAGGCAGGCAGGGGCCAGATCTTGCAGGGCCCAGCGAGCCACGGTTGGGCGTTGGACTTGATTGCAGAGGTCCTGGTGAGCTTCGGATGGTTTTAAAGCAAGTAATGACTTTCTGCTTCTGCAAGACGATGCTGGCCTGGGCCGGAGAGAAGGATTGGTGCGGGGACCTGTCAGGAAGGTGTCTGGAGCCGGTCCAGAAATCTCAAGAGTCTGGACTGAAAGAGTAAATGGGTTGGAGGGCCTCTGAGGAGGAGGGAGTGTGGGGATGAGGGCAACCCCAGGCCTCCCCCTGGGTGGTGCTCACTGAGAACACAGGTTTGGAGGTGGGGCGATGGGTTCTGTTTGGAGGAGCCAAGTTGGAAGGGGCTGAGGCTCGGGAAGCTGGGCTGGGGGTTGGGGTGTGGTGAGCGTCCCGGTGGTGGCTGAAGCTGTGGGGTGTGTGTGAGAGTCCTGAGGGCTTGGTTTGTGTCTTGCCTTCCAGCCTAAAAGCAGTCCCGGGCCTGTGAGGGCCGCTCCCGTGGACGTTGGGGGTGGGCGGGGAGGGGGGCGCTGACACTCTGGCTCAGGTCCACGTTAGCTGCCGGGTCTCTGGTGTTTGTGGTGTGTTCCCTAGACAACAGCGTGTGTCTCGGATGACGACCAGAAACCACGTTGGTGCTGGTGGGGAGCATGTTGGGTTCTTGTCCATGAGGAGGCGCTGGGCCGTCCTGCCCTCCCCCTCCCGGACACCCGGGGTGCGGGGCAGAGAGATCGGTGACAAGGCCTCCCTTGGGGAGCAAAGGGAGAGCGGGCCCCAGGCTTCTCTGGGAGGACACAGATGTGCAGGGCCCTGCCGGACGCCCACAGACAGGCCCCGGATTGTTCCCACGGAGGGCTGAGCTGGATCTGACGGATGAGGATGTGACTCTGGGGGCCCCCCGTCCCCCGGCGTTTGGGAGAGGCTGGTTCTGACCACAGGACGTGGTCCCTCTGCCCTCGCCGTGTGCGGAGGGACCTGTCCCCGGCGCCGGGGTCCAGGGGTCCCTCCCCCTCCAGGCTGGAAGCATCCTCACCCAGCACGCAAACACGGTTGGTCCCTCATAGATATTTTAATTGTTGGATTCAATTATTTGGCTATTGTGTTTGACCAGACTCGATTTTTAAAAAATACAGATTCTATTGTCGTCCCTTCTTCATGTATGAAATGAAAGTGACGAGAGTGGCCCCTTTTGCCGAAACAGGTTTGGCTCAGTGGATAGAGTGTCAGTCTGCAGACTGAAAGGTCCCAGGTTCGATTCCGGTCAAGGGCATGTACCTTGGTTGCAGGCACATTCCCAGTTGGGAGAGGGCAGGAAGCAGCTGGTCAGTGTTTCTCATCGACTTTTCTAGCTCTCTATCTCTCTCCCTTCCTCTCTGTGGAAAATCAATAATATATATATATTTTTTAAATGAGAGTAGTCCCTTTCCAGGGCTGCCGTGCGGAATAAATTAGTATGTGAAGCGTTCTGACAGCACTCTGACAACGTTCGCCACCGTCGAGCCTGTGGAGTGCGATAAGGCAAGAGAGAGAAGTAAAGGCACACAGAGCCTAAAGGAATCATGCATGATGCAGCCATCCGCATTGATGATCTGGCTCTGTGCGAGCCGCTGACAGGAATACAAATCCAGGGAAATAGCTCGCCGCCGAAGGACCCGTGGTTTGTCCGAAGGGACGTGAAACATGCCGTCGCCTGCTCGGCAGGTGTCCGCCAGGGGCCGGGGCCGTCCTGTGGCGGCGGCTGGACCGTGAGCATCTGGAAGCACCGGGCGGGGTATCATTATGGAGGGTGATGTTTTATTGAACAAAGTCTCCTTCAGTGTTGGGTCTTGCAAAATGCAGTGAACACAGATGGGGAGAGGCAAGAAGGGGGCCCCAGGCTGAGGAATGCAGGAGCACAGTCTGAGTGCAGCAAGGAGCCAGTTATGGGATGTGAGACCAGGGGCCCCGCGGCAGACCTGACCCCTCAGTGTCCCCCTGCACCCTTGGGACCAGACACCCCCACCCCACCCCCACTGCCACCGCCACCGCCACCCCACAGCAGCTTTGAAGCGAGTGAGCAGAAGTGCAGGCTGTCAGCACCAGAGAAACCGGCGCTGGCCACACGGACAGCTGCTGCCCTGGCAGAGGAGGAGGACGGGGCACTGGGCAGAGAGAGGGGGCGGAGATTCGAACCGCCCATCATCTGCAGGCGTGTCTGATGCTGCACAGAATTAGGACCAAGTCGACCAGCTGTGCTGTCAAATGTTAAATTATGGGAGAGTGTTCAGTGAACACAGCAGGCACAAATAGTATGTACATGATCACCTCACCTAAGTTAAAAAAAAAAAAATAGAGAATAGCAATCATAATGAAACCTTGCTGTGTACCAGGAACGGTGCCAAGTGCCTAACAGTCGCCATCTCATTCACGGCTCCTAACACGCACTAGTGTATGAGGTGGGGACGGTTCGTACTGTAGTCCCATCTCCATGGCGATGGGTCATTTACCCAGGCCAGGAAGCTAGCGAATGGCGGAAGTGAGATTGGAACCCAGGCAGCTGGCCTCTGACCCCAAGTCATACAGTGACTGAGATGGTTTAGCTGAGACATGAGTCCCAACTCACACGGTGGCAGGAGGAAGGAAGAGGCCGGAGGAGAAGGGACCCCCATGGTGACGGTTTCGGGAGGTGCTGAGGCTCATGTCAGGGAAAGCCACCCTGCTTTCCAGCAATGTCAGGACCCCCGTGTCTGGACAGGCCTTCCGTCAGCCGGTTCTGGCAGAACTGTCTGTGAACGAGGGGTTAGGAATAAAGCCACTCACGCCGGGAGTCATGTCAGGTGGAAACCATCTTCTGTTTCAGAAGCTCACCCCTCAGCAGGGACAGGTAGGAGGGTGCAGACTGCATGTGGGTAAGTTCCGGTGTGTTAGATAAGGAAGAAGTCCCACCAATGTGACAGTGAAATGTGGAGGAGCCATAAAGTGCTCACAATGAGTGATCGATAAGTACTATCGAAACAACTTTATAAAAGCATAGAGAGCCCTAGCCGGTTTGGCCCAGTGGATAGAGTATCCGCCTGTGGACTGAAGGGTTCCGGGTTCAATTCCGGTCAAGGGCACATGCCCAGGTTGCGGGCTTGATCCCCAATAGGGGGCCGTCAGGAGGCAGCCAGTCAGTGATTCTCTCTCATCATTGATGTTTCTATCCTTTCCACTCCCTTCCTCTCTGAAATCAATAAAAATATATATTTAAAAAAACACATAAATAATAAAAGCATAAAGAGGTTTTATAGCATAGCAAAAGAAGTGTAGTATTCAAGGTTTATGGTGATTTTTACCAAATAAGCAGTTTTTGGCCAATAAGGTAACCAAACGCCCAAACTCCGAGAGTATAGTTTTAGCCTGGTATGGAGACCAGGGGTTTTGAATGTATGGATGGGATTCATATGGACTTGTTCTCGGAATCCAGCAATACTAGAATTAAAGGCACTCTTTGAAGCTTTAAAGAAATAAAAGTAAAAGGTGGTGCGATGCGCTCAGGTTTGGGGAAACATAGCCGTGTGGAAGACCTCCAGTGAATTACCGCCTCTGGGCACATGGAGACCCTGCCGACCACCCTTACGCATCCCGCAGACACCGGCAGAGCCAGGACAGTGAGCCGCAGAGAGCGTGACTGGTGGCGAGGCCCTTGGTAGTTTGTTGTCAGAAATGGGGGAATTCACAAGGAGTGCCAGTTCAGGACAGGGGACGAGGCCAGAGGACATTGTAGTGGGAACAACATCCTTTGAGATCATCTGCTTATCATCTTACAGATAAGGAAACAGGTCTGTGTAAACTTCTAAGTCATGTCCTGCTCTCTCTGAGCTACAGCCCACAGGCAGCTGTAAACAGATGAGGAGACAGAGACAGGAGGGGTTGCCTGCCTAGAAATGCTGTATTTTTATTCGGTTGGTCATCCTGCCCCCCAAAAAGTGGCCAGATACCAGTATAAGAAAAGCACCTCGTGTGCCTGGGCTGTGGAGGAGGTTTGGCCGCGGGAAGGGTCTGGCCCTGCAGAGGTGGCGGATGGCAGAAGCCACCGGGTCACTTGGGTATGGACCACGGTTCTGAATGGCGGACACAGAGACTCATCCGTTTACAACCACGCAAAATCCACTTCCTGTAGTTCTTGTGAGAATGTAACCTTACCCCCTTGCGCTCAGTTTGAGATTTTTTTTAAAAAAAGGAACTTCATCGTTTAAAAAAATATTTAAGGACTATAGGCTATTTGGACACGGGTATAAAGGTGGGGAATCTGACTCTGGGTAGGAGGGAGTCAGAAAGAACTTGCTGGAGGAGGTGATGTCTAGTCTGAGTTTTAAAGGGAAAGTAGAAGTGTAGAAGATGAAGAGGGAGAAGGTGGTGTGTGCCAGGCAGAGGGACGAGAAGATGTGGAGAAGAGAAAACATGGGGAAACGCAGGTCGTTCTGGTGTGGCCGGTGTGTGGGCTGAGAGAGTGGGAGTGGCGGGGGAAGCGGGGATGGCACCAGAGGCAGAGAAACCAGTTTGCAAGCTCAGGCGAAGTTCAGGCAAGAAATAACAATGTGCCTGCACTAAGAAGGGCAGCGGGGAGGAGCGGG